AAGGCGTGCGCCACCAACGCCCGGCCACATGGTTGGAATTTTGATCATGTTTCTTTAACATTGGCAAAGGCATCTCCTTTGCTCTCTTCCTGTGGCTCCTGCATTCAGCCAGTTCTTCTCCAGCTTCTGTTGGCTTAGATCACTTCATTCTTAGAGGGTCTCTTGGACAGGATTTTAATCAAAGCTAGCACCAGTTTTTCTTTCCTTGTGCCTCATAGGTGACTCATGGGATCCTGCACACCTCTTTCTCTCCCCAATCACCATTAGTGATGTTTCCTGACATTTACACTCATTGGATTCAGGGAGAGGGGAGTTTCAAGATATCTTCATAACTCTAGTTCTGTGTTTATCTTGCTTGGTTTCACTGTGAATTTTGAGGCTGTTGTGGCCTTTTTCGGTCCTTTCTCCTCTGGGTCCCCCATGACCTGGACAGGGTCCTGCCTCTCTAGCCTTGTCTACTATTCTTTCTGAGATCTTCCTTCTCTGCAGAAACCTTCCAACTTTTCAGCCTCTTTTCTCCTCACACACTTACATTTCATCTCATTCTTTACGTTACTGCAGCCAAGCCAAAGGATTCCAAAGCCTGTACTCTTGCTGTTTTCTATGACCAAATGTTAAAGCCCTCGAGCTGATTGAACAAAGTGAGAATCCATCTATCTGATCTTTCCCAACATGCCCCTTATTGTGAGCCCCAACTCTAAACAATATTGCTATTCAACAAAGCTGCTTCTATATCAGAATCTGCCAGGCTCACACAGCCTGCTGCCCCCTTCTCCTTCTCAGCCTCACAGCACCTGTGCTCTTAGGGTTTGGTAGCTGTTTCCTTAGCCACAGGGTCCTGGCCAGTGTTGGTGAACGATACTGATCGTCTACCCCCATCAGTCTTATTTCCCGCTGGACTGTTGTCTTCACCAGCATCATTGTCCTAGACAGACGTCCTTTCCTCCTTCCCTCCATTTCATGCTCTATTATACGGCCACAGTGGGTTGCAATGTCACAAAAGCTTAACTACAGAACTTAAGAGGAGGGCCAAGGTTGCTCATTAAGGCTATGGGAACCGTACCAATCTGGCCCCAGTGCTGGTTTTTCTACTTTCTGTATTATTCCTGGTGTCAGGCTACATGCAGTTCTCAAAATTTACCGTGTCAGTTTCTGGAAAGTGCATTTTCATTTTCTGCCAGGCATGTCTTCCTCCTCCTGTGCTCAACTGTAAGTTGATAAAGAATTTACCTGAAACATTTATCTGATTCAGGCTGCTAGTTACTGCAGCCAGCCAGATCTTTCTAAAACAATGTTTTTTTGGATTGGAGATTAGATCTTGGGCTTCACACAGCCTAGGCCAGTGTTCTGTACTCCTGAGTTATATTCCCAGTCCTCCTTTTTCCCCCCTCGCTTTGTTACAGGCTACTAACTTATACTCAGGCTAGCCTTAAACTTTCTGGGAATACTGGCCTGGCCTCTACTATAAGACCTGGTGCATTCTGAGATTTTTATCTTCGTATTTTGTAGTTATAGAATTCTCAGTCTATTTCCATCATTTGATGATCTAGTCTAGAGAACAAGACCACTTATTATCTTTGTGACCCAGTGCCCAGTATGTACCCAGCATGCTAGTCTCTCAATAATAAAAGCTTATTGTCATTTAAACATTATTTAAACAGCTCTGAGTTATTCTCTCTAACTGGAATGCCCTTCCCCTTTGCCCCTTTCGTCTAGCTGATCTGTACAGTTTGAAAACCTTGCCTTTCATGCAAGACTCTCCTTCCTTCTCCCCTTGCCCCCAGAACACCCCCTAAAGCTTCTACTGGGAAGCAGCTCTGGACACGTGTCCTTTTTCACAAAGTGCCCTCACTCCAGAGAGGGGACTTTTATTATTGCCTCTTTATTGTTGTCTTGGGCCTCATATTTAAGATGTTCAATGACTATTTGAGGGATCTCTGGCTGGATTTGCAAGATGAGCTAAGATCAAATGAATTATCCAAAGAGAGATATCTGGTTCCTGGAAGGTGGGGTCTTCTCTATGGGTTAGCCTTAGTCATCAGGATATCTGAATCAGGCTAACAGTGACAAACCAAGGTAGCACCCTCAGCCCCAAGGACTGGAAATTCTACAGTCCCAGATGCAGCTCCATCTGCTCCAGAGTCCCAAGCAGAAAGGGACTTCCCATGAGATTTAGACCTCAGTCTCCCTTTCCTAGGAGCTCAATCTTTCTTACCATGAATTTCTACTTCCCACAACAAACATATTTTTCTGTCTTCTGAGAGCTGTAGGAGCAAGGGAGGATCTGAGACTAGGGACTTGAAAGGAAACCACCCAGGCAAGGGGTGTATAGAGGAGGCTGGGTAGATAGGATCATTCTCCAGAGGGAAGGCAGGCCTTCCCATCTCTGACATTGTGAGTACAATCTGCCCAGGGCCACTTCCCAAGGCTTCCTGCCAAGCTTCTGCTGCCTGTGCCCTGTGATCCAGCAAGGGGCAGAAACTGACTAGAGCACATGCCGTAACAGAGGCAGCAGACATGGAGAGAAGATTCTTCAACATGTTGGGAGTGTTTGCAGCAAGACCAGAGCACAGGCACAAAAGTCTTTATGCATGGAAAGAAGATGAAAAACAGATCAATTTTCCTCATCTGATATAGTATTAGAAACTAGGAAAGTCGGGAGGTGTGTTCTTGCTAATTTCTTGACCAGGTTTGCTTCATACGTATATATGATAGGAGGCTGAATTGACTTTTATTTTTACTTTATGTGTATGAATATCTATATGTAGGTACGTCACATACATGAACGTACTTATGGAAGCCACACATTTCAGATCCCTCTCTCTCTCTCACCTGATGTAGGTGTTGGGTACCAAACTGGATCCCTCTGGGAGAGCAGTGCACACTCTGAGCAGCTGGGTTTATAAACTCTCTGGCTCCAAAAACTTTGTTTTCTTAATGATCTTCTGTTGCCACCAGATGGCAGCACACATTGAGACAACAGCCCTTCTAGCCCTGTCTTTCAAACAGCTAAGCTGTGGAAACAGCCTAAATGGCTACTGCTAGATGAATGGATTGGAGAATGTGATAACTACACACAGCAGAACACCGTTCAGCTTTTAGAAATAGGATAGCCTGCCATCTCCAAATATGTGTGGTTTTTGGTAAAACAAATATTTTAATATCCCATTTATCTAGTCAAATGTACTCAATATTCTCATCTCAGAATCCTTAACTGAGATGTAAGGTAACATGTTCATAAATTCAGACATAGGATGGAACGTCTTTTGGGAGTATTTGTTATGCAACCTACCACCCAGTTACAAAGAGAAAACCTATCTCAAAAAAAAAATAATTGTCAATACTCATCAACTAGAATTCTGTTGGCTGCTGTATTTGTTTTGCTCATAAAGTTTTATGTTTCTTGAATGCAGAACACACACACACACACACACACACACACACACACACTATTAATTTTTTGAGACATCTTATGTAGTTCTGTAACCCAGGTTGTCCTCAGACTTGCCATGTAATGGAGGATGGCCTTCTTCCCTCCCTCAATTGCAGGGACTACCACCGGCTTACACATATATTTGAATCTCCTAAAAATTTTAACAAAACCAGGGGTGCCTTCTAAAAGCATTAATCCTGCTTCTACAGAGATAGTCTCAAACTTACTGTGTTTATTTTGGCATTGTTTGTATTAGAACGGACATTCCTTGTACTAGAATATCAGACAGAGGGTGACATTTGAAGTTTTGATTGTAAATTAGTATCTTACAGCTATATGTAACAGAGACCATAAGCTGCTCATAATCTTTAGTTTCATTTGGTAGGTAGCTGATACATGGCACAATGAATACAATTCAAAGGGAATATTGTTTTCTCTTTGTGACTCAGTGTCTTGACCCTCATGTTTCCATCCTGCTCAGTATCTCCATCACTGGCCACCTAACTCTCCTTAGGTCTACCTTTCCTCTGGGAATGAGGCATTTTATGGGATCTGGTCAGTTGGACTTGAAAAATGGAGGGTTTCACAGGGTTCCTCTTCCTTCCCCTGGATGCTGTCTTCCTAGCTAAGCCTAAGCCGTTAGTCCTTTTTCTGCACCGTCGCCCGTTCCCAGTTGCCCATCCCCACTCATGGGCATGTATTAGTCTAGATGATACCGGGGAAGAATAGTTGAGATTCTTCAGGGAGAATGCCTTTGATGGAAGGAACAGAAACTAGGCATGTGTCTGATGGTTGGGGATTGGATTGCAGGTACAGAAAACGTCCTGAGAAGATTTTGAGAGGGAGGAGGGAGGCTGAGGAGCAGGGGAGTTAGGAGCTTCACTAACTTCTCTGTGGCACATGGCAGGGATGGCTTCTCAAATGAACTGTGAGCTCATTTAGGAGAACCACCTTTTTCCTGTATGAAATCTGGAGAAAATGTAGTATGTTTTGATGTTTTTCTTTCCATAGAACACTCTTTCAGCTTCCAGTGGTAGGTGTGGTTAGGGATCAGTGTCTTTGTGGGTACAGGATACAGCCACAGAGGAACGGGTCATAGTCTCACCCATGGCAGTGGTGGTTACTACAGAAGCACAGGCCTGTCCATCTTGAAAAGATGTAATGTATTGTCTATGGGGCAGATGGGAGGCCTTTGCTGGTTTATTGTGGAGGTTTCAGGTTTAGTTAGAGATGGAAAGAAGAGGCTTTTTTTGAGATGTCTGTGGTTCTAGTTTTCAAAGGAAATTGAATCTGTGATGAGAGGAGAATCCACCCACTACATGTCCAGGGAGAGGACGGTGATCTCGGAGATGTCATCTCTGCTTTGGTGGGCCTTCCTATTGGCATGGGAGATGCTTCAGAGGGACATATTTCTGTTGGCCAGGGAGTGGAGGACAGGGCTCCAGAACCTGGGGAGGGAATTGAGGAGGACTTTGTGTTGCTGCTGCTGGCAGGTCATTTTTCTGTGGCTGAAGGGAATCTGTAGGAATAGCACATATTCAAAAATTTCCCTTCATTTTGTTCCCAGGACCTGCTGAGACCAGCACAGCTCTGCTATTTCATGTGCCAATGACCTTCTCAGCAGTCTTTCTGGCATAACCTTGATGTCCACAACACTGGCAGCAACTTCCAGGCAAAGAAACTCTTTGGAACCCTAACCATCTCCTTTCTGTCTTCAGGTGAGCAGACCTAGCTTGTGGTCCATGGTGAACACCATCCACGTGGTGTCCAGTGCAAGGGGGGGGGGCAGCAGGTTTGGCACTGATGTAGCACTGTGGAGGTTAGGGACAGGGCAGGTTTCAGCCAGGGGGACTGGGGTCTGTATTGTCCCATTAGCTGTGGGAGGTGGATAACAGCCCTAGACTGCAAGAGTTAAGGGATGAGTTTGACAGTGAGGCAGGTACTGAGTGGATGTTCCACTGCAACTCCAAAGGAGACACAGACAGAAATCAGTGAGGATGGGGGCAGCAAGTGTGGGCGGAGGGAGGTCCTCACAGAAGCTTCCTGCCAATCCTGCTCTTATTCCATCGACCTAGAAGCGGAAGGCGTATGTTTACGTGGGGCTTGCAGCAGAGCTATCTGATATCGATGTGACCAGAAATGCCCCGTAGTCCTGCTCCCCGTCCTCACCAACTGTGGAAGCCCAAGGTCCCTTGATCCAGGCACACAGAGCTGCTTTCTGTGCAGGGGAGGCTGCTGCTGATTTCCCTAGGCTTCATGGTTCTTCTGAGGCTGGAGGTTTCGGGTCTGCCTTCAGAACAGGGCGTTACTCCAGTGCCCATCTCCTCCTTTGGGCTGGTCTTCATCCCTTCTCTTCCCCTTTTATTCCATCAGCAAATGAGCCTCTGCTCCGCTCACTCTTCCGTGAGTTCACAGTATGAGGCAGCTATACTCTCTCTCCTGTCCTCTTCACACTGGTTGTGAGGGGTAGTGACCGCCCCAAATCCTGGAACGAAGGAATATTAGCTTATCACACAGACAGACAGACAGGCCCCCCCCCCACAAGTTTTGCCCAATCCAATATATTGCTTACCACCTGTGGTCATCTCAGCTAAGGAAAATGAAAATACTCTGAACTGAAAACAGGCCATCTACTCTCATTTGTCTTGATTTATCAGAGATTTTCTCAAGAATTAAGTAGCTATATATATGTGTGTGTGTGTGTATACATTACTGATAATAATTATGGTAAAAAGTCTCTATATTTCTTACAGTCTTTTTTTTTTTTTTGATTTTTCGAGACAGGGTTTCTCTGTGTAGCTTTGTGCCTTTCCTGGAACTCACTCTGTAGCCCACGCTGGCCTCCAACTCACAGAGATCTGCCTGGCTCTGCCTCCCGAGTACTGGGATTAAAGGCGTGCACCACCACCGCCTGGCTAAAAGTCTCTACATTTCTAAAAAACAATTGCTCTATAACTTCCTTTTATTAGACGCACATGTGTCTAGGAATTTATGTGTCTTTATCAATATTAACCTTTACAATCCTCACCAAATCCTTTGAAAAACCAAGATCCACCTTCAGTGACCCATTTGTCGTTCCAAAGGTCCTGGACAGGTACATGACACCTTCTCCAAAGATGAAGGGCTCTACCTCTGTCTCTGAGTGTGGTTGCTTTTTTGTTTTTTTGAGACAGGGTTTCTCTGTGTAGCTTTGCGCCTTTCCTGGAACTCACTTGGTAGCCCAGGCTGGCCTCGAACTCACAGAGATCGGCCTGGCTCTGCCTCCCGAGTGCTGGGATTAAAGGCGTGCGCCACCACCGCCTGGCGCTTTGAAGTCTTTAATGCTTTAACCTATTCCTTCAACAAATTCCCTGGTTACTGATTATATTTGACCATTTACTGATGAGTTATGGGAGGGACTGTCACAGATGAGAAAGAAAGATCTGTGTAGGAAGGGCAGCAACTGGGATAGCCTTTGGGTAGATTGGAAGGGTAGAAGGCACACAGGTACTTTCAGAAATCAGGACAATGGGATTTTCTCATTGGTACATTTCCCTGAGTCTCACACTGTCCAGGTAGGCATTCTAGCCCACCCAGCCCCAAACAGTCCCTCCCCAGGAGATACATGGTAGGAATATGAAAGTGTAGGCTCTGTGTGTGCTAGCATTGGAGTGCCACTAAGCCTGGCAGGAGATAGGGTTTTCAGATCCAAGAGAGGCTTGACTTTGGTGATGGGCCTCACTTTTGATCTTGAGACTTTAAGCTCCTCTGTGATCCCATGCCAGGAAAAACTCTGTCATGCTATGGGTAAAGACTCTGGGAAAGCCCTGTGATTTTCAGATTGAAACACGATGAACTCTGTGATCTTTTAATTCACAGATAGTATTTCATATTATATGGGGAGTTGTTTCTAGTCTTTCCTGAAACATTTGGATAATCAACACCCATCTCCTGAGCACCTACTGCCTGCCAAGCTCTGGGCCTTACTTTAGGGATCCGAGAAGAACTCAGGGTTGCTTGCTATACTCATCTCAGGGAAGAAAGATCAGAGAAAGCACTCCTCAGAGCATTCACTCAGGTTTCATGTTGAGAAGGAGAGGGTGGCAGGAGATGTGACGAGGATGCAGGGAGAAGACGAGGATGGTTTTCCCAGACTCTGATCCTGAGAGTACAGCAGTCTCCTAGGTTAAACATCGTTGGCTCACTTAGATCAGCCACGATTTGCTTCTATTAAATCATATTTGCTCTTCAAGATGTTAAACCAGTTGCCATACCTTGGATGGTTGCAACTGTAGGACTTTAGTTCTGGTCTGGATGAACTTGTCTGCAGGAGACGGCAGGAGGGGGGGAGGTAGAGATGATGAACAGGTCCAGCTTCATCTCACATGCGCATTCTGTGGGGATCTCTTTGATGGGGAGGGTGATGGTTATGAATAGTTCAAAAGCAGGATTGAGTGAGTGAGGAGAAGGTTCAACCCTCTAGGAAGATCGGCAGCACCTACAGTGAACCCCAATGTAAGGATTCCTACCCATAATATGTACACAGGCTCAGAAAGTGTTCAGGAACAATTGTTTTTAGACAGGGTTTCTCTGTAAAACAGCCCTGGCTGTCCTGGAACTCACTCTGCAGACCAGGCTGGCCTTGAACTCACAGATATCCGAGTGCCTCTGCCTCCCAAGTGCTGGGATTATGCACCACTGCCCAGCTCAGAAAGTGATCAAATGATAGTTTTTATGACATGTTAAAACCTCTGAAGAGATGCTAACCTGTTGATGTTAGAGCCATCTTTTCATTGTTATTGTTCTTTAAACTAGTCTCTTTGATGTCTTTATTCCATATAGGAACTGAAACTGAATTTTAGTCCTTTTTCTAAAATACCTGAATCAGCCCAGGATACTCTCCAGTCTTCCACCCAAGACCTCAGGACCATATCATCTCTCTCTTGGAGAGACCATAGCTTGTATAGTATTCCTGAGACATGCACTTGTATGGAAAGTTTAGAAACCTCAGATTCTATCCAGCTTGAGCTATGCACACCTCCTTCTATCAGTATTCTTTGCTTAGCAACTCAGGACCATCACCTGCATGGAGCTGAGTTATATACACCCTGCTGCAAACAGTGGAATGTTACTTTTCCTAATAATCCCTTGTTAACTTCCTCTTTGTGGTCAGTTTCCATTCAAACAGGACCTGGAACAAATATGGATGGGAAACAGAGTGTTGATCTAGTTAGTCTGCATGGTTTGGAGAACCTGCACAGTAAGGTGAACTGTCTCCAAAATGAACCTTTAAGGTAACTTTTCTTTACCGTATATGTCTATGCATAATTGTACACATATATGTAAAGTTTATATATATAAACATCATATATTATTCATAAAGTATATAAAAACATTATACACACACACGCGCGCGTGTGTGTGTGTGTGTGTGTGTGTGTGTGTGATTAAAATGAGATGTGTCATGGGAAAAGGCTTATGTAGTAAATAGAAGGTGGTATCACCTAAGCCTAACAATCAGAAAACCACTGACCTTTTGCCCTTTAGTAACTGACTCCTCCTTCTACTGGACCCCATAAAGGAAAGCCCCAAACAACAATCAGGGGCCCCGATGCTCAAATACAGTGTACCCTGTTGTGGGATGGTCTGTATGTCAAATTGCCCTGATTGGTCAATAAATAAAACACTGATTGGCCAGTGGCCAGGCAGGAAGTAGGTGGGACAAGGAGAGAGGAGAATTATGGGAAGCGGAAGGCTGAGGAGAGAGACACTGCCAGCAGCTGCCATGACCAGCAGCATGTGAAGACGCCGGTAAGCCACCAGCCACGTGGCAAGGTATAGATTTATGGAAATGGATTAATTTAAGCTATAAGAACAGTTAGCAAGAAGCCTGCCACGGCCATACAGTTTGTAAGCAATATAAGTCTCTGTGTTTACTTGGTTGGGTCTAAGCGGCTGTGGGACTGGCGGGTGACAGAGATTTGTCCTGACTGTGGGCAAAGCAGGAAAACTCTGCTACAGTATACCCCTGCTGTTCAAATGCAGTGTACCCCTGCTGTTCAAATTCAGTGTACCTCTGCTGTTCAAAGGCAGTGTACCCTTGCTGTATACCCCTGCTGCTCAAATGCAGTGTACCCCTGCTGCTCAAATGCAGTGAACCTGATCTTCTCTATTGCTTTGCTTCTGAAAAAAGCTCTTGACACTTTGCAATCTCTATTTGCATCTTCAATTCTTTGAACAAGATGCCAAAGACATGGAAATACCAAATCCAGACAGTACCTTCAAGTAACTGTCTCCAGGCAGCTCTCCATCTGTTTCTGTGGCTCACACTTGATTTGGACTGATTTTAGCATGCAGAGGAAATATTAGAGGACTGGCCATCCCTATGCCTAAATGTTTGAAGGCTGGGCAAACCCTGGAGATCGTTATGGCATGAAACTTAGCTTTTGGTTTACAGTTTTGGTGAAGAAGTTGAACTGTAGATGTTTCCTTTTTTTTTTTTTTCCCTTAATAACCTTTCTCCACACCAAGGAAGCTAATTTTCAGATTCTTTCATTTGCTGGGCTTCTCTGTGCCAGCTGGCCACTCAAGAGCTTGAGGAATAATGCCAAGATTGGTTTTAGTAACACTGGCTTGATTGAGACATAGGTAGAAATTCTGATTGTTTCCAGGTATGGTACCACATGTCTGTAATCTGTAATTCCAGTATGCAGGAGGCTGAGATAAGAGAATTGTGACCCCCCAGGATACATATTCTGGACAAGAGGGGCTGCTTAGTGAGACTCTACCTCAAAAGATGAAAATCAAATAAATAGTAATAACACCCCCAACAATAGCAACAAATCTGAGCTGGAACTTAGCTAGAAGCTTGCTGTTTGGGCTAGCTTTCTTAGTGCCGGCAGTTGCTGGGCAGGCAAGTGGGAAAGAAAAGTCAGCAGTGGCCTTTCCCAATTCTGGACCATGCATGCTATAATACCAACTTGCCATGCAAGACGTGCCTCCTGGTTCTATAGTGGCACAACTGTTAAGGGGGCAAATGAATGATTTCTGATTGTATCTGAGGCCCATTCTCCAGGAGGGAGTGCATTGCTTACACTATGGACCTAGTCAAAGGCATGTGACTGAGGAGTTCATAGGCACCAGGAGAGAACCTACTACTTTTGATTTGCTAAATGGACATGCTGCCAATCTATATGTTTGAACCTATGGACTGGTGCTACCTCAGCTTTGATCAAAGAAGCTCTCTGTTGTAGCGCATGGTGGTTAATTTAGATTCAACGTTGTGTCAAAATATTGAGACCAAGTGACTGTCGAGTGGTCAGCCTTTGATTAGACATCCATGTCACCCCTCCAAGGCTCAGGAAATGCTGAAGAAAAAGGGTCAGAAGAAAAGTGCGAGTGTGATGGAGAGAAGGACTGTGAACTGTCTTATCAGCATAACACGGCCCTCACACTCAAACTCATGGAAGCTGCAGCTGTCTGCAGAGTGTCCACACAAGACTGAGCCCATCAACGTTCAGTCATCCATGTGTCGGGGCGGGGGGAGCATGGGACTCTGCCACAATCAGGGTAGATACTGGCACTGGACAGCTTCAGGGGGAGAGGAAGTCATTATTTCTAGTGATGCAGTCATTGACAATTTGCTCGTTCCCCAGTGCGTCAGTCCACAGCCAGGCCCATGTGGACAGCCCTGGTTAAACCTAGTGGGTCACAAAGCAAAAGCAAAAGCAAAACAAAAAGACATTGAAGTGGGAGGGGAGCTTCCTGGAAGGGGGAGAAGGGAGGGAGTTGGTGGGAATGTGTGTGTGTGTGTGTGTGTGTGTGTGTGTGTGTGTGTGTGTGAGAGAGAGAGAGAGAGAGAGAGAGAGAGAGAGAGAGAGAGAGAGAGAGAGAGAAGAGGATGGAAGATGAGTGTTACCAGAATGTATTATACGTATGCATGAAACTATTAAAGTCTAAATTAATTTTAAAAAAGCAAAGAGAATAAAAATGCAGATTGTCACTTGATTCTGAAATTAGTTGTAATAGGCAGCCATCTGCCTGATGCATCAAAATACTTAACGGCTGGCCATCACTTTTGTCCTCCTGTTCTGATTCTTTACATCTAGTTATAAGAGGAAACACAGCTGAGGTGGGCAAGTAGGCATTTGAGAAATGGTGGACTAAAACCACAGGAATGCATATAGGAAATGTACTGAATTATTTTGTGACCTGTTTCCTCTGTATGAAAGACCCTTTGTCTCAGTTACCTTTTCTTTTGCTGTGATAAAACACTGGCTGCCTTGGGTCAGAAAGTTTACTTCAGCTCCTAACTTATAGCTCATCACCAGGGGAAGCCAAGGCAGGAACACAAGGAGGGAATCTGGAGGTGGGAACTGAAGAGAGCACCCTGGAGAAAAAGCTAGCTACTGATGCATTTCCTCTGACTTGCTCAGCTAGCCATTTTCTTTACTTTTCTTTTTTTTTTTTTTTTTGCTCACTTCATCACCTTTATTCAAGTCTTAGCTGAGAAACAGAGCAAAAGAAAGAATGAAAGTCATTCACACAAGAAAGAAGGAAAATTCAGCTGTCACTGTACACAGATGACATGATTCTACGTGCAGGAAAATGTCAGTGACTCCACCACAAATGATTAGAACTAGTAAACAAATTTAACAAAGTGATGGGCTAAATATACAACATACAAAGCCTACAGCATTCCTATGCACTAAGAGCAAATGGCATGAAACAGAAATTTTAAAAAAGAAAGCCCCATTTACAGTAGCTACTAATCTTACACTACCTAGATACAAATTTAACTAAAGGGGCCATTTTTCTTATACTGTGGGGGCAGCACCTTCTAGTTGTAGCAGGAGGAGGATTAGTTGCCTTTGGCTCCCTCTTGTGCCTTGGTCTTTGGTTGCTGCTGACTCCTGCTATCAGAACCAGAATTTCTAGGCTTCTAATACTGACCAAGGAACTGTGGCTTTTTAGGAAACTTCTGGGGTTTCAACTCCGGGTTGGGACTGTTGAGGCGCCCAGCCTCTAGGATCTAGTAACTGCCAGGTTGTTGGCTTCTCCAGTGTGAGACAGTCACTGTGACACTTCTCTTGATGTGAGGCACCTTGGCCTCAAGGACCTGCAATGCCAGGTTCTCAGCCTTTCAGATGTGAGATAACATTTGCTACTATTTCAATGGAAGCTGATTCACTACATTCTTTACTACATTTAAATATAGTCACCTTATCCGTTCTGTTGCTCCAGAGCGCACCAATACACCTTTCCCTTCCTTAACTGGCCAGTACTCTTCCACCTGCCTGAAACACAGACCAACTGGGAAATGTTCATGAATGTGTTGGGTATAGGAGTGTACACACGTGTGCATGTAGAGGCTAGAAGCTGACATCTGTTGTTGTCCTCAGTAGTTTATCCACTTGAATTTTTGAAATTAAACCAGGAGCTCAGAAATTGGCTAGACTGGCTGACCAGCAAGCCCCAGAGATCCTCCTGTCTCCGTCTGTCCCTCCCCCTATCATGGAATTACGGGTGCTCACAAATGTGCCTGGCTTTTTATATGGGTGTTATCTGAACTCAGATCCCAAGCCATCTCCCCATTTCCAAAATGGAAAAATTGAAGAAGAAGAAGAAGAAGAAGAAGAAGAAGAAGAAGAAGAAGAAGAAGAAGAAGAAGAAGGAATGTAAAGAGCAAGAATTTGTATTTAGATGTGGGATTGATAACTGTCAAATAAAAAGCTTCAAGTGCAGACATCATGTCTGGCCTTCTAAAATGTACTGTGATATACACACAAAATTAATATTCTGTGTCAAGTACCCACCATCAAAAATGTCATAAAATTGAACCATGTTCCACATTTCCTAGATTTAACATGAAACCTGCCAAGAGAAAACTGCAAAGTGCAGTTATCATGAGAAGCTGATGCTCTGTGTTGAGTGTATAATACTGTGCAATGAAATTACCCCTCAATTCCTTGCTTTGTCGCCATTTTAAATTCATACTCCACTTATTAGAAGAACCTGAAAACACTGGGTAGAGGTTTCTATCTGCTCTGTTGCCAAGGCCTCCCCAATCCTCATTACCATCCATACCTTGCAGACTCTCTCTTAGTATTTCAAAAGTGCGTCCTTCTCCCTGTCAGCTCCCACATACTCAGCACCACCATTTCACTCTTGATTAACATGCAAGTTCTTTCAGTCATTGGTGTTACCCAAGATTTTCAAACAGCAGGTCAGGAGCATTCTGCACTTGCAGTTACCTCCCTGAGCCTGCAGGGGGCAGCAGTAGAAATGGAGGAGT